GCCCCCCCGGTGCCCTCCCAACACCATTGGGCTAGGCTAGAGTACTGTCAATCTGACAATGCCTAATGCCATTGGATCAGAGTGTTGTCAATCACTGCCTGATGACTAAACCACAGACCACATCATATGGTACGTAAACACTCAGTAATATATTTTGGAACATCACCCTGGTCACGCTGAGTCAATATTTATTTTGACTACTTTCGTGTGACTGATCAATAGGGCTGGGTATCGATTCAGCATCATATAGTGAGACGGCAGAAGCTGAAAACACCGCGAGCGTCATCCGCGCTTTAGTGTGTGTGTAGTAAACAAAAAAGTGCGCCACACCATCCGCCATTCATTCATTGAGGAAATCAAATAAATACTGGAAAAGATCGATTCGCGGCTTTTGAGAATCGATATCGAATCGACGTCATTTAAAAAAACGATTAATCGGAAAATAGATTTTTTTGCCCAGCCCTACTGATCAAGTTATTATATGTAGCTAGTATGAGTAACAAAACACGTTCCCTGTGTCCAGATTTTACCGCAATAATAATGCAAAAACTGACACTTCAAATCAACCTTTAAATGTCAACTTTTACAAAAAGTAATCTTTAATAGTGTAAATACTGTATATATCCAAATACATAATCTAATACAAGTTATTTATTTTATATTAGACCTATAGCATGGTGTATTTTTATTCGGTTTGTTAACAAAAGTTTTATGTTTAATATAAGTGAGTTTGTCATTGTACCGTTTTGTTGTTGTTCATTCAAGCAATTGACACAGAATTGCCGCTAATTCAAAAGTGAAAGTAAAACGCGCAAGGGCATTTAGAAGCTATTTAATAGTGAAAGAAAGTGAGCAAAAGAGGGAAAACCCCAACGAACCCCACCCCTCGGTGATACCGGTATTACCAGTGTTGTCACACGTCGATAAACCGGTGGGAAAATGTAATCACCGTCACAACCCTAATACACACACACACACACACTCACTCGCACACACACACACACACACACACACACACACACATATATATATATATATATATATACATACATATATACATATATGGCCGAGCAATAACTGCCCTACCCCCAGTGATTTCGGCCACTGCCCCTCAAAATGTCTGTGCACGGCCCTGCACCCTCCACTTGTTCTAAACCTGTATGAGTTTTTCTTCTGTTGATCACAAAATAAGATATTGTGCCCATACAAACCTGCCCATATTTGAATGTGACAGGTTGTTAGTCCTTGCATCAATGTGCTTTGTCCATCATACATCAGTGATCCCTGCATGCTTTTCTGTTAGCCATTCAGCCAGGCCACCAGCACAAACGGAGCTTTTAACATTTATGGCTTGTGCTGCCATGGTTGCGTGTGTGTGTGGCAACTTAGTCAGGCTGTAGCATGCTAATGACATCATTCAGACTGGCACACAAATTTAGTGGGAGCGTTTGATAAAAAGAACACAAAATTCAACTAGTTTTGTCTCTAGCCGGTTACATCATCAGTTTGCAGGTAATGCATCTTTGTGTCTTACAAAATGACCCACGTACATCAAACTAAACTGTCTGTGGGAATCCTTAGATTTGGCTTCAATATCTAGCATAGGCCTAATTTAAACAGGATCAAAAGACTTCAGAATTTTTTTGTGCTAATTTTGGGGCAAATCTGAAGAAAAATTGTAAAATGTTAGATGTGTGTTAAAGAATTTCAACTGACAAAGTCCTTGGGTCTTGATTACACTTAGCCATTTAACTTTTGCCCCAAATCCCATAGCGTTTCTTTAGTACAATTAAGATTAATATACACCAACACTGTTGATTTCAAGCCTATCCTCATCCAGCCTCCACCCTACAAAACAAGTAATTTGTTTATAGCCATAGCACTACAACTTAATAGACTTTAAATATAGTTCTAACTAGGGGTGCTCCGATCGATCGGCGTTGGGATGATCGATCGGCGGTCTCTAAAAGGCCGATCTCAAGCTGATGACGCTGCTGTGAGAGGTTTGGCACGACATGCAGCAGCACAGTCTCAGTCTCTGTCCGGTGCGGGTGAAATCATTATAATGCTGAAGGTGAGGTACTCACTTTCTAATTTTTCATTAAATAACTTATAAAGTAATTTGAAAACCTTGTGTGAGACGTAATTTCACAAGCAGCGTGAGTGAATCACCATGCGCGCGCTCAAATGTTTTGCCAATTGCTTGAGCAACTTAATATATAAATCTAGAAGTAAATGCAAAAGTAAAAAGCATTGAATAATGTGTTGCTTATATTTATTGTGCTTAAACATGTCTGAAAGATTGTATTACTGTACTGTGTAAAAAAAAAAAGAAAAAGAATTCATTCCAAATGTGGGTGTGGAAGAGTAGACCAAGCTCATGAATAGTAATCAAAAGGTTGCTGGTTCCAGTCCCACAAAGAGAAGACCATGCACCATCACCTTGGGAGGCACTTTGGATGAAAGTGTCTTCCTAATGTTAACTACTGCTTTCACATAGTTGCATATGTACAAGCCATAACCTTAGTCTTTGGTTGGTTTCTCCTAAATCTCTTCCAAAGGTGGAGTTTGAGGGACTTAAGCATGAGAATAGACGCTTGGAAGAGGAAGTGCAGTACTTGAACAGCCAGCTAGAGGATGCTGTTCGGTTACGAGAAATAGCTGAGCGTCAGCTAACGGAGGCTCTAGAAACCGTAAAGACCGAGCGGGAGCAGAAAGCAGCTCTTCGAAAAGAATTGACACATCACATGACCCTGGGAGACTCGCTCCTTGCCAGCTCATTGGATGGGCTCAAACTGAGTGCAGATGAACCAAATAACGACGATGCCATTCTGATGTTTGAAAACGGATTTGCTAAAGTCAGCGACGCTAACGATGAAGATAACAGATTGTCTTCACCCAAAAGAGATGGAAACTTCCGTCCCGCACCAAGTCTGGTGGATGACTTGTTGACAGAGCTGAACATCTCAGAAATCCAGAAACTCAAGCAACAGCTCTTACAGGTATGGCCATTTTTATGTGTACCGTTACAAATGCAATCCTTCGCATTTCAATCTTTTGGTCAACCTCGTTTACATAGTCACCCTGTTCCAGACCACTTAAAATGTAGCATTTTCCCCCTCCATTTCACCTTGCAGGTGGACCGGGAGAAGGTAGCTCTTCTCACCACTTTACAGGACTCTCAGAAGCAGCTAGAGCATGCTCGAGGAACATTAGCCGAACAGCAGGAAGCTATGATGAGACTTAGCGATGATTTGGGTGTAATGAGGAGACTACAGGCAGGCAAGGAGCGGCAGTCGGCCTTGGACAGTGAGCGAGAGCGGGACAGTCGAGAGGACAATGATGTGGACTATTATGAGCTGGATATCAATGGGCCAGAGATTCTTCGCTGCAAGTATGAGGTAGCCATAGCAGAGGCAGGTGAACTGCGAGAGGAGCTTAAGACACTAAAATCAGAGCATGATGCGGTGAGTGGGACTGAGAAAAGTCGAGTTTTGTTCAGTATTATTTATGTTTTATTAATGGGTTGAAGGCACATTTCGTGGCAACTTGATTATGCATGATTCTTCTAGATGAAGGCCGAGTATGAAGAGGTACGGGCACGACTGGAGGGACAGGTGCGTGACCTCAGCATTCAAGTGTCTCAGCTGGAGAGCAGCAGTCGCACAGACAGAGATCAAGTCACTCGGTTGGAAAAGGAGCTAAAGGAAGTGAGTGCAGTTGCGGGCGAGACAGAAGGCAGTCTCAGCGTTGCCCAGGATGAGCTTGTTGCCTTTAGTGAAGAGCTTGCAAACCTCTACCACCATGTCTGCATGTGCAACAATGAAACCCCGAATCGTGTCATGCTTGATTTTTACAAAGAGGGTAAAGGAAACAAGACCGATGGTAAAGATCGTCAGTCTACGTTGACCCAAACCAGTGGCAGCACAGCCGAGGCACCCAGGTCAACCTCCACCGCTGCTGACAGCTCAACTTCTGGGACATCAGTCAGAGAAGATCCACGTCCTGAACCAATGGACATCTACAACCAAGTAGCAATAATTCGGGATCAGATACGCCACTTGCAGAAGGCGGTGGACCGTACCACAGAACTATCCAGGCAAAGAATTGCTTCTCTAGAGTTGGCCGCCGTGGCGGATAAAGACCAAGCTGCTTGCATGGAGGAGATTTTGAAGCTCAAGTCCCTGCTGAGCACTAAGCGAGAACAGATTGCCACGCTGAGGACTGTGCTCAAGGCCAACAAACAGGTGAGAACAAAAACGATTAGCTTGGCATGGGTGTATATGACGGCAGAATATTGATCTTCTTGTAGACCATCCAAATGGACTGCCTTAGATTTGTAGTATTTCAAGAGCGTTTTCTGAACTGTGGTGTGGTTCTGTGCCCTTTTAGACAGCTGAGGTTGCCCTGGCAAACTTAAAGAGCAAATATGAGAATGAAAAGGTCATGGTCACCGAAACTATGATGAAGTTGAGGAATGAGCTGAAGGCTCTTAAAGAAGATGCCGCCACTTTCTCCTCTCTCAGGGCAATGTTTGCCACCAGGTACTGCAGGAAGACAACTGAAAGTTGCTTCTCTTCCAGCTTTCTTTATCTGGCAGAAATTCCTGCTACTGTCCAGAGAACAGTAGGGATATGCAATTCAGGTACTACATCTTTCTTGCACTATCCCTCTTTCCCGTTTTCTTCTTTAGGTGTGATGAGTATGTAACTCAATTGGACGACATGCAGAGGCAGCTGGCTGCAGCAGAAGATGAGAAGAAGACTCTGAACTCCCTCCTGCGTATGGCCATCCAGCAGAAACTGGCCCTCACTCAGCGACTGGAGGATCTGGAGTTTGACCACGAGCAATCCCGAAGAGGATCCGGTGCTGGGCCTGGAGGCTGTGGGAAGACTTCATCTAGCCGTGGCAGAGGACCCTTGTCGTTTTCCAGCCCCCATGTAAGTCCTAGACTTCCCTGTAAGAACCGACCACAACCACACGGCCTCATTGGAAGTCCTGCGGTTTTCTGCAGTGAGAAGTATAAAATTCTGTGTGACACTGGATCCGATTAACACCTGTGTGTAATTGTCACTCATCAGCATCCTCATGCTAACTAACAATCCTTTTACTGTATGTGTGCTTGGGACAAAACAATGCTAGCATGTCACTGTTTGTGCTAACAGTTGATGGCTTCATTAATACTTGTCTAAAGGTCGGGGCCTAGTCCTTCTCCTGTAGATCTATCTGGAGAGATTGGATGGGTTGGTAATGCTATCTACTAGGGTTATCACAATCACTACATTTTTTTTTTGTAATAGGCAGACTCCATTATTTTGGTACCGAAATGAATCTCTTTAGTTTCGACATTCGGCACTCTTGACATTTGTACTACCTGCTGTTTTTTTGTTTTTTTAAAGAAAGCAGTCTGGCGCCGACATATAGCGATGTTGCGCTCGGGGCGTCCCGAGTTCGAGTCCCGGCTCGCAGGCCTGATCCCATCCCCTCTTTCCCGATCCCATCTCTCTCCCACTTCGCTTCCTGTCTAAATACTGTCCTGTCGCTCGGGGCGTCCCGGGTTCGAGTCCCAGCTCACAGGCCTTTCCTGATCCCATCCCCTCTTTCCCGATCCCATCTCTCTCCCACTTCGCTTCCTGTCTAAATACTGTCCTGTCACAATAAAGGCAAAAATGCCAAAAAAAAAGAAAGAAGGAAAGCAGGCTGTAGTGCATACAATTTTCCGGTATGCATTGATTAACTGCATGACCTACCACGATTGTCAAAATGTGCAGTATATGACCAAAGCACATTGGTGTGTAATGTACAATGCAATGCATTGTTTCCATTTTCATTGTTTTTGTACAAACAGATATTTTAGATTATTCCAGTGAGTTTAGTTGCAACCCATAGATATCTATAAACAAGGATTGAGGAAACAATTAAGGAAAAGTACTAAACATGTTAAAATACATCTACGTCTGTCTAAATTTGTCTTTTCTCTCTGAACATCTGAGACCAGTGTTTCTACTTCAACCCAACCAGCACTGAATGTCATTGAGTTAAACCCAATTTCACAAAGATAGTCTGTTAATCTCTGTGTCAGTGCGAATAAATCTGTGTAATCCCAACAGATATTTTAGATTATTCCAGTGAGTTTAGTTGCAACCCATAGATATCTATAAACAAGGATTGAGGAAACAATTAAGGAAAAGTACTAAACATGTTAAAATACATCTACGTCTGTCTAAATTTGTCTTTTCTCTCTGAACATCTGAGCCAAGTGTTTCTACTTCAACCCAACCAGCACTGAATGTCATTGAGTTAAACCCAGTTTCACAAAGATATTCTGTTAATCTCTGTGTCAGTGCGACTAAATCTGTGTAATCCCAACAGAGACACATTACTGAGTCTGCTGGGAGCTTTGCAATCCAGGTTGCAACCCTAAAGGACATAATTCATGATAAAGATTTTTTGCTAAAAATGACAAAAAAATTATAGGTGTCTTTTGTTAAAGATAATGTCTAGATTTATAGAGTTTTCATGCACAGAAAAGATGTTAATTCAGACATTTTAGACTAAATTTCTTCAAGATGAATTTGAGAAGTTGGTTTCAACTATTTTATCATGTCATTCCATGTCTTTGTTGATTTTGTTCATACTGTTTCATCTAGCCTTTCAGCCAGCATAACACATTGTCCATGTTGTCTTTACAGTGGTGACTCTGAACCACTTTATCGTGCATGATCTGTTGCTCTCAGTTTGAACTGTTTGTATTAGTTGGCATGTTGTCTGTTGCATGTGAGTCTTCTGCTTCCTGCAGTCCATTGCATCTGGAAAAATGATTCTTCCATGTTCTGCTGTGTACTAATGGATCTAACCTGTCTCATTGTTGACGGTAACATTCACTTGTCTATGTCCAGTGTTATCAACTTGACTTATTAGCTATATTAATTATTTACAATACATTTGGGTCAGCTATGATGTAATAATTCTGATGGTCATTTTGTTTCTCAATTTTGCAGTAATTTTATTGCTCTGGAGATTATCTGCAAACGGTTATTTCCCCTCTTCCTTCATTCTACATTATTCGTCCAGAATACACATGCCTGGTCCAATTTTGGAAACAAGAAATTTGTCCCTGGATGTGGCTGCAAGAAAACACAGGCTCACATGTAAAGCCAACCGATCTATGTAATCATTATTTTGACTGTTACTGTGGTATTTTTTTCTGCTTTGTTTTTGTTTAATGTGCACTTCCAGTGCACTAGTTAATATTATGTAAGAGTTGCACATTTCAGTATGCTTGGCACATTTTTGTTCTTGCAAATTTTATGTATTTAACTGAAAAAAAAATAATAATAATAATATAAGAATTGTGGTTTGTTTATATTATTTTATGCTTAACTGTCAGGTTCTAAGCATATTCCAGGGAGAACAATTATGTTAGAAGAAGACTCTGAACTCCCTCCTGCGTATGGCCATCCAGCAGAAACTGGCCCTTACACAGCGATTGGAGGATCTGGAGTTTGACCACGAGCAATCCCGAAGAGGATCCGGTGCTGGGCCAGGCAGCCGTGGGAAGGCTTCATCTGGCCGTGGCAGGGGACCCTTATCATTTTCCAGTCCCCATGTAAGTCCTAGACTTCCCTGTAAGAACCGACCGCAACCACACGGCCTCATTGGAAGTCCTGCGGTTTTCTGCAGTGAGAAGTATAAAATTCTGTGTGACACTGGATCCGATTAACACCTGTGTGTAACTGTCACTCATCAGCATAACTAACATTCCTTTTACTGTATGTGTGCTTGGGATAAAACAATGCTAGCATGTCACTGTTCATGCTAACAGTTCTGATGGCTTCATTAATACAAGTCAGTCAGTCCTTCTCCTATAAATCTACCTGGAGAGATTGGATGGCTTGGCAATGCCATACTATCTACTAAAGTTATCACAATCACTACAAGTAAAAGAAATTACTTCAATAATTTTTTTTGTAATAGGCTAATTCCAATATTTGGATACCAAATTGAGTCTCTTTTGTGACTTATTATCGAGGAGTACCAGTACTCTTGACATTTGTACTACTTACAGTACTAGTTTTTTGAAAGAAAGCAGGTTGTAGTGCATGCAAAGTTCTGGCATAACTGCATGACCTACCACATTTGACATTGTTTAGTATATAACCAGAGCACACTGTACAAACAGATAAATTAGATTCAGTTGCAACTAAACTCGCTGAAACTTAGATATCTATAAACAAGTATTGAGGAACCGATACTTGGAAAATGTCTAAACGTGGTAAAATACATTTACGTTTGTCTAAATTTGTCTTTTCTCTCTGAATGTCTGAGCCCAATGTTTCTACTTTCACCCAACCAGCATTGATTGTCATTGAGTTAAACCCAGTTTCACAAAGCTAGTCTGTTAATCTCTGTGTCAGTGCAAATAAATCTGTGTAATCCCGACAGAGACGCACTTTACTGAGCCTGATGGGTGCTTTGCAATCCAGGTTGCAACCCTAAAGGACATAGTTGATGCTACAGATTTTTTGGCTAAAAATATGACAAAATTGAGAGTTGTCATAGATGATGTCTAGAATGATAGAGTTTTTTGCACACTTTGTCATCCATGTCTTTTTTTGGTTTTGTTCATACTATTTCATCTAGCCTTTCAGCCAGCATAACACATTGTCCATGTTGTCTTTACAGTGGTGACTCTGAACCACTTTATCGTGCATGATCTGTTGCTCTCAGTTTGAACTGTTTGTATTAGTTGGCATGTTGTCTGTTGCATGTGAGTCTTCTGCTTCCTGCAGTCCATTGCATCTGGAAAAATGATTCTTCCATGTTCTGCTGTGTACTAATGGATCTAACCTGTCTCATTGTTGACGGTAACATTCACTTGTCTATGTCCAGTGTTATCAACTTGACTTATTAGCTATATTAATTATTTACAATACATTTGGGTCAGCTATGATGTAATAATTCTGATGGTCATTTTGTTTCTCAATTTTGCAGTAATTTTATTGCTCTGGAGATTATCTGCAAACGGTTATTTCCCCTCTTCCTTCATTCTACATTATTCGTCCAGAATACACATGCCTGGTCCAATTTTGGAAACAAGAAATTTGTCCCTGGATGTGGCTGCAAGAAAACACAGGCTCACATGTAAAGCCAACCGATCTATGTAATCATTATTTTGACTGTTACTGTGGTATTTTTTTCTGCTTTGTTTTTGTTTAATGTGCACTTCCAGTGCACTAGTTAATATTATGTAAGAGTTGCACATTTCAGTATGCTTGGCACATTTTTGTTCTTGCAAATTTTATGTATTTAACTGAAAAAAAACAAAATAATAATATAAGAATTGTGGTTTGTTTATATTATTTTATGCTTAACTGTCAGGTTCTAAGCATATTCCAGGGAGAACAATTATGTTAAATAGGCCTATATATGTTTCTTGTTCTGTTCAATAGTCAAACATTCTAACGGAACATTATCTTGATAGTCATGTAGTGTAACTCCACTTGTGGAACAATAACTTTTGACTTGCTCCTTAGAAGTTTGGAGTCAATTTTCATTGTGGGTCAAGGATATGTTAAATTCAGACATAAAAAATATCAATTCCAAATTGGAATACTTTCTAATTTTTTGCCAAATACTGCATTAAGGTCAGCATTTTGTATTTTACATTGCAATACATATTTGTTTTTAGACATTGATTATCTGTTTTGTATAACCCTCTCATAAGACCTTCTGTGCCTTTTATGCCACTATTGGTTTTTTGTTTTCATGAACCATTCTAAGAGCCATAGTCTTCAGTATTTCTGTCAGTCTCCGATCTAGCCCACTTGGCCCAGTGTGTGAACATCTAATTTGGACAATAATTAAACACTCCTTCTGAATGTCAGCTCAGATTTCTTGTTTAGGAGATTTTAAATGTTAGTAAGTATTAGGTGTGTTCAAATCATACATTCCTTTAAGGAAGTAATGATTTCTGATGGCTGTCATGGTGGCTGTCTGTTGACATTGGTAGTCATTATTTTCCTATGTGTAAACTTGCTAATTATTTTATTTGTTTGTATTTCAGCAAGCAGAAAACTTTGCCTCGGAACATTAGTGCCATTTCAAATTTAAGATATTGTAAAGTTTTAAATGACCTTTTTATCTTTCTTTTTTTCTTTTGACTACAAATTAAGTGCAATTTTGTGTTGTTTCTGGACTGTATGCAATAGTTTTCTATTTGCTGAAACCACTTCATCAGCCATGACATTATGACATTTTAAGTTATTTTTACACATTTGTATGGAATGACTTCACTTGTTTGTTCATATTTATTCATAACCTTGGCTATCAGTTCAGTATTAATGACAGGTTTGTATGCATTATTACTGGCACATGCGCTGCCTCTTTGCATCTCTACTTGAAATATTACAGGTACAATGTAAACTATACTGCCTCGTCTGTGTTTTTACAGTGCTGATGTTCAGTGTTGTGCTTTTTTTGTTTTTTTACATTTATGCTTCTCTGTAGTTTATCATAAGGATCACATTATAGGCCCATGTCTGTCTTAACATTTCTCAATAAACTAATATAAAATAGTACTTTGGTTCAAGTTGTATATTGGTAGTTGACAATTAGGTCTGGTCCTCAAATTTGGTCAAACACTTTTCCAAGAAAGCAGAGTGGGGAAAAGATTTGCCTGGAGAGAGGAACAGGTTGAGTGCAATTCTATATACTAAAAAATGACCAATTACTGTTCTGTAGTAGCCTACTAATGATCAAATCAGGGTTGTGCTGATATTAAGAAAAAATATTTCCTGCTCGGGTGTTATTAAATGATGGCTAACATGGACATTTTTGTCTTTCTTTTAAAAAAAAACATATTTCCCATTTTCTTTCATATTTCCCGTTATATCTGAACATAAATTGACAGTTGGTGACACTAGTAGGACATGTGCAGATATTTATTTTTACAGGGTAAAAAAAAACAAGTGCCACAAAGAAACGGAACTGTCTATTATACGCTAACGTGTGTGTGTATAAAAATGTATATTATTTATACATTATATAACTTTATTATAAATTCTAAATAAACGAGTTGAATTTATTATTATCGTTTTAGATAAAGTATAGCGCTCACTGCGTACCGTGTCTAATATGCTAATATTCAGCAAGGGTTTCTTCAATGCAACCGAAGGGAATCGAATCTAGACTTTACACTAAATAAATATAAACTGAATTTGCGTGAACTTCCGTGTGTAACCCTCATTTTGATCGGAACTTCCGGCAGTTCTCACCACGGTCTCCGCCCCTCCATACACAATACAATGGGCGTTTCCAAACAAAAGACAGCAAAGGGCACTTCAAAATGGGAGGTCAGTCAAACTTCTATTTGTTATTTATAAGTATAAATATGAACTATAAATACATACTTTTTACTTTATAAAGTGAGTTTTATAGGATCTTATGCTCACAAGCTTGAGCTGCTTCGACTAGTTTTGCCTCGACAGTTGTTGTTGTGCTCCATTACGGTGTATTAAGTCTACCCTGCTTAATATGTTGCATTTCAGAAGCTCTATAATCTGTTGATATAGTATTTCTGAATTTATAAGGCGTTTTGTAGGCTAAAAGGCATTGAAATAACACTCAATCTACTTCAAAAGTATGTTTGACAGTCTTGCGTTCCCGGTGTCTCTGCTCAATGTAATATATATGAGGTGCCTCCATCTTCTGGCTGAAATGTGCACAGCATTTATAGAGATATTTGTTACTAGTCTGGATTATTTAAAGGAATAGTTTATCCAAAAAATATATATATTTTTAAATTTTCGTTCTGTCATGTTGTTCCAAACCTGTATGACTTTATTTCTGTGTAATGACAGAGAGCTTCCATGAACAGCTGCGAGTAGACAGCCGGTTCCTGAAATCGGACCAACGTCTAGATACAGAACTGGTGGATAAACTCATCCTGCAGCTCAACAGAATCTACCTACAGATCCTGACTGACAAGGAGGCCTCCAAGGTAAGAGCTCCACCCTCAGTAATAGAGTGCTGCAGCCTTGACGTCAAACCCGGAAGACTCATTCACCACGGGTTACATCAAGATTTTCCTATGTGTTTCTTTTAATAATGGGGTTTTTCAATTTATGAGTAAAACAAGGTTTGTGGGAAACATACATTTACTATACTATACTTTTTGCTGTACAATTTATATTACACACACTTATACTGAAAACACAAATTTTGAAGCAATTATTTTTATTTTTAAAAATGTGTTCATAATAAGTAACTACATAAGAATGTTTGGGGTGTGAGACCATATTTTACTCATGAACTGAAAAACCCCATAGGAAAATCTCAAGGGAACCCATGGTGAATTAGTCTTCCAGGTTTTGATATTATAGCTGCAGCACTATACATATAAACAGTCCATATTTGTACTTTACTTCTTTTTCCAATAATGATATTCCCAAACATTAGTTCAGGGATTTGGATGTGCCCACCTGTATCAGGCTGGCGGAGCTGCTGTCTCATCTACAGGACAAAGGAGAGGAGGCATGTCGAGAGTTTTACCGTGCACTGCACCTCCACGTGGAGGACGTTTATTTCAGCTTACCCACACGTCTCCGACTCAGAGGTTGGCAGAACCATCATTTTCCACTCGTAACCACTCAAAAACGTCATACTTGTGAGGATATTCATTTAGTTTTTCTAATGCAGCATTTAATTTCTGATTCATAGTGGTTGTGGAAATTTATTTAAAGGAATAGTTCACCCAAAAATTAAAATTTACTGAAAATTTACTCACCCCCAGGCCATCCAAGATGTAGATGAGTTTGTTTCTCCATCTGAACAGATTTGGATCCTCTGCAGTGAGTAAAAACATCACAATAGTCCACAAGTACAGAACACAACTTAAGTGAGGTGAAATTAATGTAGTAATTTCATCAAGGCATTTTTCAATTTATAAAAACTGTCCATAACAGTTCTCAACAAATACGTTGGTGGATTTTGATGTGAGAGGACAACAGGGGATGCACTTTTTCCACTGGATGAAGTTTTATTATGGATTATGTTAACATATGGATATGTTATTATTTTGGCCAGAAGCAGCGGTTTAAAGTTAAAATGGCTTAATGATGAATTTATTACAAACATGCAGCTTTTCACTTCACAAGACATTAATTAATGGAATGGGGTCATGTGGATTACTTGTAGATTATTATGATGTTTTTATCAGCCATTCTGACGGCACCCATTCACTGCAGAGAGGATCCATTGGTGAGCAAGTGATGTAATGCGATGTGATGTAATACAATTCTCTAAATCTGTTCCAATGAAGAAATAAACTCATCTATATATTGCATGGCCTGAGGGTGAATACATTTTCATTTTTGGGTGAACTATTCCTTTAAGCTTGTTATTAAGCTTTACTTGGAAGCGTTTTTGGTTTGACCACCAAGTTTTATTTGTTTTTGTAGATTCTGGTGAACCAGTCGGCCCAATCCCGAGTCCCACAGACAGATATGTAATAAATGACCATAGTAAGTCAGCCTTTTCTGTGATTATGCACTAGTAAACAATTTATATAAATGATGTTCCATCATGATTTTTTGTCATTGCCCAGGTCCGTTTTTCTTCCTGAGTTGTTTCAGTGTGGCTGTAGGAGCAGCTCTGCTGTATTACTATGGTGGTAAGCGCACAAACTTGTTAATATCTTCACACCCACATCAAATATGAATTTCCTAGACTGAAAGCGCTCAAAATGTTCTTATCTGCAGAGTCCAAGCAGGTGTCAGGCTCCAGCAGCGCTCTGGGTCTGGCTGCGATGGGTCTTAGTAGAAAAGTGCGGGACGTTCTCATCTGGTACATAGAAGATGGAAAATAATGGATTTTTTGCTGCCTTAAAAAATAATTTAGACACAGCAATCAATTCTGAAATACTCAATTACCCATATCAAAAATATCAAAATTTTAATTCAGGTTTTTAAAAAAAAAAATGTACATACTATGTAAATACAGAAATTATTGCTTTGAGGCAGAATTTCAAAGATTTAATTGTAAGGATTCATGCCTAAATATAGAATCTCGTTACAATTTAAATACAACAATATAATGGTTTATATAATTACTTAACATCTGTAATCAAACATTACAATCATGCATTTGAAATAATAGCCATTTATATGCAGTACTAAGAGCAGGAACTCATTACCTTTTAAGAAATGTTGGGTAGGAACCAAACTCGCTACTTAGGCTAAAGTATTCAGTTGAAGTTGAAACGCAGAGCTGCTCTGTTAATGTTGCAACCCTTGTTTGTCAAATTCACAACCAATTCTGTTTGTGAATTTGTTTTATTGTACTTGAAAAATAGACCTCAAACTCATTTATATATTATTTATAGTCAGTACCTTTCAATTCTCACAGACTTGGGACTTATTTGGGCAAGAGATTATTTTAGTAAAATGTGGACACAAAATTCACTACACCATTTAGTGGATTCAAAACTGGGTAAACTTGACAAATCAAATAGATCAACGCGTCAGAAAATTTTGACACGCAAGACAATAAAGACCACAGTTAAATCTGAACCTTGGAGTATTAGGAGTTTGTTACTTTGTAATACCTTTTTTGTGGGCTAAGATTTCAACAGTTGTGTTTATATTGTTTGTTTACTTTTATACTAGCAGCATGTTTGTACTGGTTTGTGTACTAATAATTCATATTGTCAATTTACTCTTGTGGCCTTGTTTCTGCAGTGCAATTGTGTTTTGTAAAACCTATTTGAAACTTTTGGCCTAGAAACTTTTCAGATAAATGGCACATTCACAATAGTTAACTGAGAAACTGTATTTTTTTGTCAGAGGCTAAAAAAAAAATATTAGGTTAAATAAAACTGTGGAACTGTTGCTAATGTACTTGTACTAATGTACTAATGTTTTGATTGTCTTGATATACCAGAGCAAACACTTGTGGACGAGTGGGAAATGATTGCTGACAAATAGTTTTATTGATGTCAGAATTATTGTTTTGTCCTTAAATGCAGCAGCTTTAGGTCTGAAGAAGACCAGTGTGCAATATTGTATGTAAAAACAACTGTAAGTAGGTCTACTATTTATCTGTGCACTGAAATAATGACGTAATCAGGGTTTGAAATTAACTTTTTCACTCACCAGCCAATTTGGCTACTAAATTTTTAAGTTACCGGCCATTCATAATTTCTACTAGCCAAAAAAATTTAACAAATAAATTATGAAAAAAAGGCCGGAGGTAAGCCAACAGCTTGAGGCTGTCCACACTGGATGCGACAAAGTGACCATTGCAAATCATTTGTACTTTGTCAAACAGTAGGCCTACGCCATAAATAGAACGAAGCATCAGTTTACTGTCGGGGATTTGTCGTGCTGTGCTGCGCCACATCCAGTGTAGGCCGCATCACCGATTATAATGGGTTCTATAGTATTTTGTCGCATCTGGTGTAGACACTAAGCTATTAAAGTTTGTTTACATTGCAGTTTGTTTACATGCATTTTACCTTGTCGTGGCTGTTTTCAGGCAGAACCTTTAATGTTGTCATATCACACAACTGTATAACACAATTCTGTGTCATTTCTGAATGGATCGAGCGATTTGTGCTGTTTATCTCTTATAAATCGTGGCGGAAGCGCAGCGCTGTGCGGGAGACTGATCCCGCTCTGCTTTAACGCGTGGCTGGCGGATGCACCGGGTAGCGCCGCTTCTAACTTTTGGAGTACTTGCTTTTTGCAGTTTCACGTGGGCTGTAATTTAAAAACAGCGCCTAATATGAGGTCTCCCTCGCTTCGGCTATCGGCCCACCGGGAATGTCCCAGGGTTCCCTATGGCCAGTAGCTACATCGCTGGGTATGTTCAAGTAAGCGAGATTGGCTAGTGATTTGACAGCGTTACCCGCCACAACTGATTTTTACACGCATTTGGCGGGTGTTAATTTCAAACCCTGGACGTAGTGCATTTATTTGTAATTACTTGGTTTTCATTGGACTAATACTGTTCTCTACAAGTGAAAAACGGCAATCTTTGGTCATTTATACAAACAATATCCATATAAAATGTACAAAAATTTCAAGAAACATATAAACATATGGATAGTAAATAATCACAACAAACATCAAGACACTAAATAACTTTAAAACTTGAAGTCACAAATATTTCAAAGAAAAAAAAACAATATGCTTCGGTCTGTCTGTAGCATAGCTCCTTGTCAGTAGATGGCGCTCTTATTTCAGTGTTTACTGCATCAATGCAACCAGACAACATGCATATCAAGTTCTTTTTTAATACTTAAAAAAACAAACAAAACAAAAAAAACTCAATTTATGACGTTTTTGGTCTACTAATACAAGATAAAAATGTGCTAGATTTATGATGACAAATCAGATTTAGTATTCATGTTTTGTAAAGGTACTGAATTTTGTAAGAAAAGATTTAAACTCTTCATATATTCATGATCAGCTTGAACTGTAAGTACCTTGTTCTGACTTTGTTAAGCAGTTCATCCATGCAGCAAGACCTTTAAATATGACTTAAGTAAAAACAAACACAAACGTGCCACGTGCAAGAGTTGCATTCTGTTGAACCACACGTAAAATGAGTCCATTTCCCCCTAACCACAGTGATCAGAGGCTTTCAGGTAGACAGTATGAAGGTCCAATGTAAGGTGAGGTGCTACTGTCCCTTTCAGGCTTGAAAGGTATTGTTTGTCTTTGTCTTGATTATTTTCAGTCTCAAAATCTCAAATCTATTAAAATATTTGATCCAATTTCACATTTAATGCATTTTAACAATGTGAAGTACGTATATAATTAAACAATTACTCGTATAACAATTATATGTAATTGCATTTTTAAATTAAATTTTGAATTTATGGTCCACAACGTATAGTATTTAGGATACTAGTAGCAGCTCATTTTGGGATTTAAAAAAAGTTTCTGCAAAACATAAGGCATATTTACTTAGAGGCACATTTGAATATGTCATGACAACTTTTTTGATTTTTGATGATAAATGTCCAATTATATATACACCTGTATGAAACCCTAAACTGGAGTTGCCAGTTAAGTTTTTGTGTCCTCTGGTCTTTGGATGCCAAATGCTGTGATGAAAATATTTACTACTACGATGATAAAGACGAGAGCTGTGACGATGTTCTCCAGAAGATTCAGTATGAAGTGTTTACTTGTGTCATTCAGATTCCACTTCACTGTAGAACAAAAGCAATAACAGCAGCTCATTATGTAATTCAGAACATTTAACATTTAAGAAAACTGATTTAACAGCTTCTTAAATTAAAATGAAAGGGTAAAATCGGACAAATGTGGGACAAGAAAATGATAATTATATGGTGTCCATCGTTCAGTAGTGCAGGTGTCAAAATCTCCCAACACTTACGGCTCATGTTTAAAAGAACTCACATAATTACTGTAAAACTTTCAATACCAAATATGAAGCCCATTTTCCACCAATTAGAGCGTGATTGTGATCACAATCGATTCCAGTGTAAAGCACAGAGTTGTGTTTAAGGAAATACTAGACAGTTAATGGACGCTGGGTGTTTTTTGAAGTTGAGCATATGAATATTTCTCAAATTGGGACGGAATTTCTTTATATGATTGAAACCTCTTTCGCAAACTGAGAAAGCTCTTACTCTCACTTTGTGGACAAAAATAAAAGTGAAAGTAAAAGCATTTCTAATGGAAACACCAAAGTGTTGCAGGACTGACTTTTACCACCTGATATAATTATGTTGAAATACTAAATGCACAATAGCAAACAGATTTGTGTAGGATCAACCTCTCGGCAACTTCTGTACTGAAAGTTCTGTTCTAGTATCATGTATCAGTTCTCCTTCTAGACAATTATTATTGGATTGAATTGCCAAATGTTAAAAGAATTCACCCAAAAATTACAATTCTGTCATTGTTTACTTGCCCTCATGTCTTTCGAAACCCTGTAAAGAAGAATTTTCTTTCTTTCATAGAACACAAATGGAATTTATTATTACAGCAAAACATCCATGCTGCTTTTTTTCTGTATAATAGAAGTGAATGGTGGCAAGGCAAGACATATATTTGAATCTGTTCCTCAGGCAAACATACCAAATATCACCAAAATACTTGGATTAAAGTGTTTAATAAAGTATTTTATGATGTTTTTATGTTGCTTTTTGTCCCTTTCAGAGCTTAACACTTTCATTGTATGGAGGAGAACAGCATGAACATTCTTCAGAACTTCTGTGTGTTCATACAAAGTCATATGGGTTTGGAAAAACACGAGGGTGAGTATTTTCACTTTTTGTTGAACTACTTGTTGAGACGTTTATTTTTGCATGCTGCTTTACATCACCAGTTTGAAAGGTTTAATTTAAATAGTTTCTCATGGGTTTTAAAAGGTTATGCATATATGTGACCCTGGACCACAAAACCAGTCATAAGGGTAAATTTTTCGAAATTGAGATTTATACATCAGCTGAAAGCTGAATAAATAAGCTTTCCATTGATGGATGTATGGTTTGTTATGATGGGACAATATTTGGCCGAGATACTATTTGAAAATCTGGAATTTGAGGGTGCAAAAAAAATCAATATATTGAGAAAGTCGCCTTTAAAGTTGTCCAAATTAAGTTCTTAGCAATGCATATTACTAATCAAAAATTAAGTTTTGATATATTTACAGTAGGAAATTTACAAAATATCTTCATGGAACATGATCTTTACTTAAAGGAACACTCCACTATTTTTGATTTTAAATAGGAAAAATATAGAAACTCTTTGGTCATTTTTGAGCGAGATGCTAACGGTCTAATCAGATTCAATGATCTATGCTAAGCTACAGCTAAAGGTGCTACCGCCAGACCCGGAAATCGGCTGAATGGATTCGAAAATGGTCAAACTCAACTGTTTAACTCTAGGGGAGTTGGAAAATGAGCCTATTTTCAAAAATAGTGGAGTGTTCCTTTAATGTCCTAATGATTTTTGGCATAAAAGAAAAATCAATAGTTTTGACCCATACAATATATTTTTGGCTATTGCTACAAATATACCCCAGCAACTTAAGGTTTTGTGGTCCAGGGTCACATATATTATAAATATTTTTTTGTCACTGCATAATTTTTTTCTATATGCTAGTAATTAGGGTATGATAGTAATAACAATATTTTGTCTTATAGAAGAAAATCTAATCATGTATAAAATCACTATTGTCTCTATATTTTGAAGTCTGTGAACTTGGATGAGCTTCTCTCACCTATGAAGATAAGCAAGACCCCCACGATGATCTGTAGGATGAGGGAGATGCTGATGAGGCTGATGAGAGGAATGTATAAGGAGAAAGTGGGTCCCACCTCCAGGATGGTCTTCAGCTGGGAGGCGTTGGCCATCAGCAGTGCGATATCCAGCATGCTCTCTGCTGCACTCTTCTTATTGGCGTAATGGTTCATGTTAATTGGGGTGTTCCTTGACCAGCGGCTCTGCCGAGGACGCTAAACACAACCATGAAAACACACCTGATGTTACTACATCCATGGAAATGAGACAAGGTAATGAGTACATGAGAAAGATTTACCAGAGTTGGAAAGGTTTCAAGTGAGAATTACAATTTGCATAGAATTTGACTCATGCACAATGTTGTTTTCTGACCTTCAATATCTATTCTTCAGAAATTTGAGTGATGGGTCATCTATGGTCATATTTCTCAGTTTTAGAAGGAACTGAAAGTCACTTGTGTTTTTTTCTTTAGGATGTTTGTAGCATGTGAAGGGAAGTGGGTGAGTGGTTTGTTGACCCTGACATGATTTCCTTCCTTTCGTTTCAAACAAAAGTGTAGTGTGGGTCATTGGTAGTCACTGCTAGGGTTATAGACCACAGAAAACTCTCAAATGTGAAATTAAATTCCCTAAAGCTTTCATCCCAGACAGCAAGCAACCTTTGAAACAATGTTAAGTCAATGTTACACCAACTGCATTGAATTAATGTTACAAAGTGGTGTTGGTTTCACATCACTTTTGCACCAGCAATTAATGTTGAAACAATGCGGATATTTTGACAAAAACAAAACAAAAAAAATGGTAATGTCATCGAATCAACATTATGAAGCGATGATGA